GGTGTGTTTGAATCTAATTTTGAGGAGAATAGAAATTTTAGAATAGTGATTGATGTGAGAATGTGTGGTGGAAAAGTGATGAAATTTTTTTGACTTGTGTGTAATATTATTTTATTTGGAGAATGTGTGGTTGAAATGAAGAATGAGAATGAAAATGAAAATGAGAAAGAGAAATTAATGGGTGCCAAACGGGGGCTTAATTTACCGCGCGACATTGCCAGAGAAAAATGAAAAGGGATAAGAGCTTGTTTGGAAGGGATTAAAATCAGATTAAAATTGAAAATATAGTTGTTGGAGCTGACTTTTATTAGATGAGTGAGATCCAATAACAGTTATATTTTTAATTTTAATTGGATTTTAATCCTTCCCAAATAAGCCCTAAGCCATTTGTACATTCTTTTGTTGACATGAAGTTTGACATGTTTTGGAAATTCAAAGTGTTGTTGGCGGAAAAGTGTGTAATGTTTAAAAACTAGCCAATCATGATGCGACATGTGGTACAATGTCAAACTTAGTGTAAAAAAATGTACAAGTAGCATGATCCGAATGAAAATCTACTTTTCACACAATTCGAAAAAGAATATTTTGAGGCCTTGTTTGGGAGGGATTAGATTTTTCTACAGTAAATCAATTCTCATTTTCAACCACACATTCTTTAATAAAATAATATATTCCATCACATCAATAATTTTTTCTCTTTTTCAACCACACATTTCCCATCATATCACTATTCAAAATAATTATTCCCCCAAAAATTCCTCCCAAACAAGCACTATGTAACGATTGGATTGAGGCAGGGGGTTATTCAACATTTTTATCGACCAATCAGCATGTAGACGTTATTAATTTTCCCTATTAAAATTATGGGCACATAATGAGTCTGTTTTTAATATTTTCTTTTAGGCATTGTAGGAATTTTGTTATAAAAAGATTAAACTCATTATTCTTGTCCCACAGACCGATTGAGACAACCTTGTTACTATCACCAAATCAGTTCAGGTTGGCACACGAAACGAATACTGACTAGGGTAACTGAGAAATTAATAGAATATAAAAAAATTTACCTTCAAGCTTTACATTTTCCGTACATGTATTTAACACACATGTTAATACTACATGTTATGGGCCTTCTGAGGCATTCCACCTCGTCCATCCACCACATCCTTCACGTGTTGTCCGAAATACTGACTTGATCGCTGGACATTACTTTACGATTGACCGAAATACTGATTTGACCGTCAGAGTGCTCGCGACCGCCTTCACCCCCGTCGAAAAAGGTCACGAGTGACTGACGGTGTGCTATTGTGCACAGGGAGGAGCTTACGTGGAGTTTCGTTCTATTTCCCACGTGTCGCAACTATTTTTTGAGGTCAACACTACATGGTCTACAATATTCACCAACATCAACTCTACTTACATGCATGTTACAACTAGTTATTCGTCTTTTTATTATCTTTCGACTCGATGAATACGAAATCAAGAGAAATCCTGATTATAGATTTCTATTGGCCCTCAACCAGATCGAAGAGCCGTCGTTCGCTGACAAGAAAGTAAAAGCCCTCTTTGGAGTCGAGGATCAATGACTGACCACCAACACATGAATCAACTCCCTCTTTTGCGCCCTTGGACTAGGGAAAGTCCCTTAATCCATGGAATCCCTTTTTACACCAAGTGACACTCACCCTTCATGTTCGAGGCTATTGGACGCACGAGGGTGACTTATCTGTTTTCCTTATCGTCGTCACAATCCTTAATAAAATATTTGGTATATTAAATTGAAGACAATTAACTAATTATCATAATCGATAAATTATATCACATGGGTCTTTTGTCTAATTCAATAGAGATAGATCTAGACAATTCAATATAAGAAAAAAATGGTGTGAATACATATATATTTAAAATAGAAATTAGTGACATCATTATTTCATAATCATCAAAATGAGAAAGCATGCATAGAACATACTCGAATGGTGACTTCGCTTCCTAGCAAAGTTTCTTCATGCGAACATCAATGCTACAAATTCAACTCCAAATTATTAATATTGACGCGATTTCCACGTATTAATTTAAAAAAATGGTTTAGTATATCAACTCTACGACGATAGATAATATTTTAAATTTGTTTTAAGAAATTTTAATTACAAGAGTTAAGGATAGACTAAAAGTAATTGACATTTTGTCTGTCTGTTTGGAACTTTCAATGTATTTATTTATCAATGAAGTAATAACAATGTAATCAACGCTAAATTATCATTAAAAATACGGTTCAGTCTATGATTATCTGATTTGTGCCTTGTGTTTCAACAATCAAATATTAAATTACATGAAATTCTAAGCATAATTGTCGTGTTTGGTAATGTTATATGGTTTAATTAATGATTAGTATTATATTTCAACGAGTTGTCAACCACTTTGTATGTTAGTAATTTTATTATCGGATATAGTTAAATTCAAATTCAGAGATGAACTTAGAATCATAATACATACGCTACTAAATATTATATGATATAATGATAATATAAATAAAAAGCACGATAATTCAAAATACTTATGACTTGACTTGTCCCACGAGTCTAATCTCATATTCAATGCTTCAATTCGATAACCGATTCAAAATGTCACGAAATCCAGGTCTTTTGGGGGTGTTGAAAGGAACGTACCATTCGAACCATTTTTTTCGTGTTTTTCCCCGAAAAAACACCTCAATAGTCAAAAGTATATCGATTTTTTAATGTTCAGATTAGTCATATTAATTATTATTGACTCGTTCTTGGATATTTATTGCAATGAAGTTACTCAATTCATTTTTGTTAACTTAATAATTAAAAATACAATAATGTCAAACGCTTTATAATTTTACAATGAATAATATTATTTAGCATTAAACTTAGATGACATTAAATGATAAAATTAATTAGGTCGATTATGTATTTTCTATATTTATTGATGATACATAGGATCATGTCGTGAATCGCTCGTACTTGCTATTGTGGAAATTTAGTGGCCTCCAATGTGTCTACCCTATTTGTGACGCGTATGCATGCTTTTTTACAACGATATATATAATCTCACAAACTGATCCCCACACTCACGGTCCTTTCAACCAAGTTACCAAACCCTCTCCCCCTCCCTCCCCTTTCACAGATCACGTACACACAATCTCAAATCATTTGTAACCAGCGAATTTTTTTTTTTCATTTCGACACCCTTTTTCAACCATTTTCATTTGATTTTACAAATATAAACCAGGTAAACGGAGAGTTTTGAGGGATATTTTGAAGGGTATTTGAATTGGTTATAGCTTGAACATGCAGACGCGTGGGGTGGTATCGTTCTCGCCGAGTTTCGGTAGCTACAGTAACGGTACGCCGACAGAAGTGGGGGCTCGAGTCGTTGAAGAATTGAGAGAAGAAGAAGAAGAGAATTCTGAAGATTTCTATGGAGGAGAATGTTTTTCCCCACAAAACAGAGAAACAGAAGATAATAGTGACAGTGAAGATGAAAATGAAGATTTCGAGTTTGCGTTTGTGACAAGAGAATCTCAAATTTCTTCTCCGATTTCAGCTGATGAAATTTTCTGTAACGGACAGATCCGACCCGTTTTCCCCATTTTGAATAAAGACTTGTTGCTTGGAAACATGAACCTTGAGCGTCAAAATTTTAGCATAGAAAATTCGGGTTCGTTAAAGGGTCCGGGTGGGAAGATTCGGATTCCATTGAGAAAGCTTTTTATTGAGGAAAGGGAAACGGCGTCGTCGGGCTCGTCTTCAGAAGCCGACGAGCTCGACGGCGTGCCGCCAGAAACCTACTGTGTGTGGAGACAGAAGGCTCCAGCGGAGCAGTGTAATAAGAGCAATTCCACCGGCTCTTCAAAACGGTGGCGGTTTAGGAACCTTTTGCACCGAAGCCAGAGCGAAGGCGGTAAGGACACTTTTGTCCTTTTCACTCCCGGCAAACAAAAGGAAAATGTGAAAATTAAAAAGACAGAAATACCGGCGGATGGCGGAAAAGTGAAATCGACGGCGGCGGCACAATATTCGAAGAAGGGTGAAGATCGTCGTAAATCGTATCTGCCGTACAGGCGAGATCTGGTGGGGTTATTTTCTAATGTAAATGGTGTGAGTAGGAATTTACAGCCATTTTAATAATTTAATCGTGATTTTATTTCATTTCCCTTTAAATTTGGATTGATTGAGTAATATGCACATCGTTTAGCTTTGTGCTTCGAGGAATTTAAATTGGTTTGTTTGTTTAAAAGTTGTATGTATATACAAATTAAAACTTGAATTTTCTTCATAATTAATACTAAATATCTATCAATTCGAGAATTCGTTATGCATAAAACATTTGAAGAGACTTCTCACTAGGGTAAAGCCATTTAGCCAGGGTGGAAAACATAGAAGGGAGAGACAGATTGATTTGTCAGAAAATGATTGGTTGTTTTTGTTTAAAATTTTCAAACTGTCCAATCAGGCTTCGACATGTGTCTCGCTTGGATTTGGGCCTGGATTTGTAGCATGATTCTTCTCACTAACATGCTAAAAGAGATTAACTACGATATTTTCATTTTTCTATAAGCAATCTTGCTGTCCCATTCATTTCCTCCTTGTGAATGTGATCATTTCGTCTCTAGGCCTCACAAACCGCGTTCCTTTTCCTTTTTCAAATTGCAATCATCTTTATCGAAGTAGTCTTTTCCTTCCCTACGCGTTAGTACTTTAACCATTTAATGAGTCTGGATAGTGAAAATGCAACGAGAAACGATAAGCTTGATAGCGAGTGGTTGGTCTAGAAGAAAGATGATTTTAGAAAGAAAAAAAACCATAATATTTGTTTTTTTTTAATTAAAAAAATTGAAAGCACCGAATTAAACTTTTCTAGATGTTTGTAGTCTTCTATGATTCTTCTAAAACATCGATAGCTTGTGACGATTTTTTCTTTTGTGACACTACTCAAAGGAGCCCACATGCTCAAGCTTTTGAAATTAATTCGTATCATTCACATATTAAAATCTGGTTTTCACCAAAAAAGTTATTGTAAAAGGAAGAAGAAGAGTATTGAAATTGTAAAATAATTAATTGTTGGAGAAATAATTAAAATATTCATGCCCCAATTTTCTTGTGGAAAGTAGAGTTTTCATATTATTAATGTGACATAATATACTTTTTGCCAAACAAACAAAAGCAATAAAGTGATTGCAATTGGCAAAAAAGGAAAAAGAAAAATAAAAAAGCAGCTTTTCTTTACCAAGTCAATCAAGATATTTGGAAAATAGTTAAGCAAATCAAACTTCCTCACTTAGATTAAACATTGTATAAAATTTCTTCGTTGATACATTGTATTGAACACAACATTATAGTACAATGAATAATATGTTAATTACGTGTCATTTCTTAATACTAAAAATGTACTAAGTTGTGAAGTATGATTATGTCGTTATGTGGAGTCGATATTGTCCTAATTTATCTTATAAACGATAATCATCATTGAAATTTTGTATCATCATCGTCAAAAAAGAGAGAGAGAGACACGTTAGAGAAGATAGGTTGTATGAATTTTCTCTTGTAAACTTATTTTTATTATAGTAAATTATTGCACCAACAGCGAGGAGGTAATCTGACTCACGTCAATATGGGTTTGATTAATCACTGAGTCGATGTTACTACAATTTTACTGCTATTGGTGATATAAAACTAAGTTTTTAATTCTCAACGCAATATTACATAATCTATTTACCAAACACGAGCATGAGGACATATTTATATATATACTATATCCATCCAATAAAAATATACTTGTTTCTATTTTTACACGATTTAATAAAATGTAATTAATATAGTTCGAATTATAAATTTTTTTCTAATATACCCATATATTAAATAATGATTTAAATATAATTAGCTTATATTTGTCGACAAAATATAAAAAAAATTAACTATTCTTTCAATAAGGAAAATGACTTATAATTTAAGATAGATGAAAAAAAAGGAACAAGTCTATCTTCATGGAAGAAAGAAATGATATAGTACAATTCAAACGAATAGAGACAAATTTTGTATGTCTCTTCGAGGGTTGTCAATTTGTTATTGTCTTGGTCTTGGTCTTTGTCTTTGTCTTGTGACAATATTTTCATTCCAATCCAATCCCACTGCAAAAGTTTCCAACATACTTTGGAAAATGGGCAAAGTGAAATTCCCTCCTGCCTCTTTTTAGTATGGCGGATACCATTGGCCCCCCCATCACATCAACAATTTTTTTCTTTTTATTTTTTCTTGAAAATGCTAAAATAAAATATCTTGAAATCCTCGGTAACTATTATGTAAAAAATCGATCCTTGACTCTTTATTTTTTGAGTGAATGTCCTAGTCGATTTAAAATATTGATATTATGCCCTGTTTGATTATCGTGTTTTTCATAGAAAATGTCACATTCGAGAAAAATGAATTTCACTTTGATCGTTTGACTGCAACCTGGAAATGAAAATCAAATTTCAAGATACAATCACTTTAAATTGCATTTTTTTTGTTTTCATGGAAAACGAATTCATATGAGTTTGATGAGTTTTTATTTTTCAACTAACATGAAATTAAAATGTTAGATCATTACTTTCAGTATGGACGTCAAACAACAACACAAAATACAAGTGATAGAGCCTCCCATTGAACGAATTTATAAACAATTTAATTTATTAATATAGAGAAATGATTTGTGAGTTCAATGAAAAGGGTGACTAAAAATAAAATTTCACTATTTATAAATTATTAATAAGCTTTGTCGAAAAACAATTGTTGTTTCTATTAATGGAATTTACATAATTCTTAATTCATAATATTGGGAAAGTAATCCCAATTTGATTTATTGAATAATGCTCGCATCCCTATAAAGGAAGGCAAGGATAAGTGTAAGAGCTAAAGCATTTTGAATGTGTTTTCACATCTTCACTTTTGCTTCTTTTCAAGTCGACAAGCTACATAAAATATGACCATATTTCTTGGAGCCATAACCATGGCTGGAATTTAGGTTTTTCAATTTCGACTTGAATTTTAAATATTGAACCCTCCAACTGTTGTGTCTATTTGCTCATTCGGAATATAAAATATGATGAATTTATTCAATTTAGGGTTCATTTGATTGATTCAAATTTCATTGAAAATGTCACATTCGAGGAATTCAATTTTTACTTTGGTTGTTTGATAAGAAAGTGGAAATGAAGTTCGAATTCTAAGTATGACCACTTTAAATTTTACTTACAACTCTCGTAAAAAATATAGCAAACAACTATGCCGACTTTTGCGGCGGTCGAGGTGTTTTTTACCGGATTGAAGAGGGATATTGGTGGTCTGAAACTAAAATCAAAATCTCGGGAAGTTAAATGTAGGCCTACGCTATTCGATCAATGCTAGCGCCAAATAGAAATTCCTGCAACCATTATTTGAAACAACTTATGAAAATTTTATAATTACATCTTTGTTTGCTCGTAAAAATTTCATGCAATAAAAGAGATTGAAGTAAAATCTTCAAGGGAAGAATTCATTGATCAGGTTTTCACTATCATCAAATCAATTTTCAGGACTTAAGTTTAAAAATTGCAAAAATCAGGTATTAATTAATTAAATATATTAAAATCACAATTATATAATTAATGGTCACGTATTCATACTTATTTATCGATCACATTTGAAAAAGTTGAAAAAGTAGGCAAATCAAAAGTTGGCAAATCACAAAGTTGAAAAGTTGGGAAGTGAAGTGACGATTTAGGCAATTTGAATTGGTATTGGAGAGAAAAAAAGTCAAATTAACACTGGGGGCAGGAGAACATTGGTATTGGCGTGCCACATCAACAGTGAGCATATTGTTATCCTGCCCACCACTGGGGGCAGGAGAACACTCCTGTTCAGAAAGATATACCATTAATGGAGCTGCGGCCCAACAGATATTCTCAACGGAGAAAAAGCATTCTCACCGATAACTAGTCAACTTATAGGAACAAATGCAAGTAATTACAGTTTAAACTACGTAGACTAGTATTAGAAGTCGAACTTTTTGCGTATTTCCAGAATTCCAGATGTTCAAAAAGAGAAGTGGGGAAATAGCACCAAGTAACGTCCACCTCATCAATCACAAATGTTCGATAAATATTGGTTAATCTGGCAGCAGTAGATCGAAGCGATGGTGGATATAAACTCACCCCTTGATTTTTGACTCTTGACTTGTTCAACAAAAATGTTCACTTTCATAACCCCCATGCAGCTATTAGCCATTCCTCGGTGATGCTGTGGCCCTGCAAAGCATATGAGGCTAACATTATTTTTCATTTTTGGAAATGAAAATACTCTCAAGCACATAGCCAACAAATTCATGAAGTAGATACAAATGGATGGCTAAACTAGGAACAGAAAGGGGAGATTTTAATTGCTTAACTCAGATAACATTTTTAGAGCCTCGATTCCTTGAATATGTACAGGCTCCACAAGTAATGCACTAATGGGTAGATAGATCGTTAACTAGTTTACATCCCAAGGGGAAAAGGCCACCTTCTTCAAGAGAACATACGCTAATAGAAATCAAACTAGCAGATATTCTGTACAGTTCGAAAAAAAATCATAATAACACGATGTAGCAAAAAAAATCAGGTACTAAAAATCGATGTGTGACATTGGAAAAGGTGACAAAAGGATTACGGACCTTTTAGAAGTAGCATTTGTCAGAAGTTTAATGTTAGTTCTTAAAACAAAGATGTTCTCACATTTATATCCACATTGCAGAAGTTGATAACACTATTTTAGCATATTAACAATAAATTGACAAGTTATCGAAACAGCTAGTCTTCACATGATTCAAAATCATGCGGAGGTAGAAGAAAAGTTTGAACATTAGCTTTACAAGCATGCATAAATAAGAGGAATGCAATATGCAAACATCAATAATTATCTAAATGCGTCATGATTTAAAGAAAAAAAAAATAACAGCACAAGGAATAAAAAGTTCAGAATATTCAAAGAACGGAGGGAACTTATACAAAAGATGTCCATTCAGATTTTCAACCTTCCATTTATTGCACTCTCTGGAGCAGGTTCTCCACCATAAATTTTTGCTGCACAGGACTCAATGACTCTGATTTCATGATTGAATTTGCGACAAGGAT